CCCCCCCCCAAAAAAAAAAAAAAGTTACCACCCCAGGCGGATCTTACCCTTCACTACCCAGTTCTTTTTACGCCAGTGAGCCAAGTGACCTGGATTTATGTTGTTTTGTTTTCTGGTACAGCACAAGTTTAAGCTCCAGACCCCCCTCCCCGGACTCGAGTGCGCACGTATTGTCGACACACCTGACCAGAAAACATTATGGCAAATCAAATGTTGAAATTTTGAGATCATCTTCAAGAACAGGAGTAAAAAGTAAAAGCTGTCTTAGACAGAGAAATTCAAAGAAGACGTTTTGAAGGAATCCTTTTTATGTTTAATGTGTTATTGGCTTTTCTTTTCATTAAACGCTAACTCGTGCTTATCTGTTATCAGAGTATAAGTAATTAAATTTTGAGTTACACATGAGGATAAAATAAGACACCACTAACTTATTTGTTTTATTTATATTTTTATAGTTTTTTTTTTTTCCCCAGAACAATATTCAATTTGTCAAATGTTTTAGGTTAAATTGCGAAACGTAAAAAAGCATATTTATTTATTGGAGTTAAGGATTCGTTTCCGGGGTCAAGATGAAATGAACTGAGAATTTGCTTCCTGATATGACAATTCTAAGATGCTTTGTTTGAAAAACGGGATCTTTACTTTCAAGCTTCTCCTTTAATGGTAACGAAAGTTTCCTATTTGGATTATTATTATTATAATACATCAATTGAAATTCACTATTGCTGCTGTTTTACTGTTCAAAGGCGATGACGAAATAATAATAACAATGCTGAGTAGGTGAGATTAGTCGCAAAACGACAAAACTTTATATTTCATTTTTCTTTCCAATAAAATCCGTAACCAATAAGAAGTACTAAATGGCAGGTAGTATTATATACTATTGATATAGTTTATTAGTATTATAATATTATTTTTAAGTGTGTATTGTTTTAAATGTAGGCCTATGGTAGGTACATGAATACAAAATTTAATTTAAAATTTTTTTTTTTAATAACACAGTTAGAGCAAATTTAATATACAAAAATGAAACCAGAATCAACTTTTTAGCTTAAGTACTTTTTGAGCTACGGATTTTTAAAGTGTGAGTTCATTTGGTATTTTTTACTATGGACAAAACCTCCACATCTTGTGACCTCATTCGCTGATCGCGTCATGTGCAATGACTATATACTTTATATATAAGGCAACGCATCGCCTTATCACTAAAATACTGTTTAGTGTCTACTTAGTTTAAACTTTCAACTTTGGCACATGAATAATTATTTAAAGCTTTCCCTGACCAATGGTACAATAGTTTTTGCACACGGCAAACTCTTTTGAATGAAACACTGAGGTAGTACTATGATACAGCCATTATGCAAGTGGCTGTGAATGGTTGCCAATGACAACGTTTTGCACACCGTAAATTCTGATCATTTATAATATGGACTCTACCAGGTTGTTAAAGCTCAAATTAAAACATTCCAGTTTAAATGTCTTCAAAATGCATTCTGAAACACAAGTTATCAAATATTTTGATGTAAATATGGTACTAAATTAATATTTCCTAAGTATCGGCAACTTCCGCCATTAAAAAGGGTGCGTGGCCCACCCCATGCGAAATTAGGTTTAGCGAACTGCATAACCTGCTGCGAACGCGTAGAAACATGGCGTCTCTCGTAAGACACATATGGCTGTGAAAATTGGCATACATGTAGATCAATACATTCCCCAGATGCAAAAAAAATTTGGTAGTGACAAATCTTTTACTTCGACTTAATTTTAATGATGAAAGTTGCCTTATATTTACCAAGGATTTTCCCAAAGCTGATTGTAAATGAAAAAGTAATTGATTAAAATGTAGGCCAAGATGTCTATCAAAATATAAGGCCGGAAACGGAACTTAAATATATGTCGAAAGTATTCATTTAATAATAAATAGACACACAAATCAGAAAATTAAAAACTCAGATTTTAGGCGCCAATTGCCACTTCCAATACACAAAAAGTACTAGTCTCCCTTGATTTACCAAGTATAATAAAGTTCAGTGGACTCAGACTCAGTGACTCAACTCAGTGGTCTGCAACCTTTTTTGAGCAAAGGCCAAAGGCGAGCCATATTTAAATTAAACATCTGATAAGAAAATATTTAAGGAGTCCCAGGAAGGGGTGGGTTTAAAAAAGAATGAATCAATCAAAATGAAAGAGGGCCTTACAGCTTCAGAGCTGCAGGGTTCCCACCATTGGTAAATTTTTGCAATCCGCGCCATGATGTTTCGTGGCGGCTGTGTAAAAAAACACACCTCTGCTGAAATGGGGAGGGGAAAGTAGGAGAATGTGCTGGTTGTCTATTTATAGAGAAAAACGAAAAAAAATAATAGAAACCCTGGTAGAGTCTGTATTATTAAGTACTAGAATAAATGATATTTACATTTCTAACATCATTAAGTTTTGAGAAGTATTTATCTGCTATATGTTATAGGCCTACCCTACTCCCTTTCATGCTCCTAAACTACTTTTTCCCCCCCTCTAAACATGACCTTAAATTACACAGTCTAAATTATCCCTAATTATATCCCTTTTGTCACTAAAGAAGTTAATTGAGGGACAATTACAACGTTAGAGAAATACTTAAGATTTACCCCTTTTCGTGCCCTTGAATTACAACTTTTTTTCTATAAAAATTGTTTAAAAAACTTACCTTAAATTTAAACCAAAAACTCTATATATAATATAAAAATATTTTATATTATAGGAATTCGATATATATTGATAGATTGAAGAAGAATCGCACAAACGTTTTTCACATCTATAACAGATTTGAGTGTTTTTTTTTAAATAATTTAAATGGTTAATCTCATAAAATACACATCTCTTTAATTTTTGCAAACAAAAACAAAAATATATTTTAAGTTTTTGAAAGTAAATATTAACCGATATCTTTTTTTCTAAATTAATTTTTCAAGTGTGTTAAATGATTGTAACATCACTTTTTCACAAATATAATTCGATATGAGTTAACTATATTGTCATCCACGTAAAAATGTACACATCTTATTTCCTACCTCCGACATGTATTTACCCAAGAAAACTAATTATTTATCAAATTCATTCCTTTATTTTGAGACATATCTTGTGCTGCCTGGGGCAAAGTAACCAACCCCTCCCCCACTCAGATTAAAATGAATTTAGAAAAATCGTCCACCGGATTGTAGCCCCTTACATACCCAAAGGTTAGTTTTTATTACATTATAATTTTAATAAAGGTATATTTTTTAAATTAAGAAAGGCAAAACTTTTTATATGTTAAAATATACACAGCTGGAATTTGTGTGTGTTTTAACAATTAAAAAAGTAATCAATTGTATTTATTAATTTTAAATTTAAGAAGGAAAAATACATTATAAGTTTTGTCAGCATGGTTATTAAATTTATAGGAGTGTATAGGACGATCGCCAACAGATCTGACCAGGACCAGCTACAACAGGATCTCAATCTGTTAGCTGAGTGGGAGATGAGCTGGGACATGGAATTTCATCCTGCCAAGTGCCAGACACTATCAATCTCTAGAAGTTGTACTCCTCTACACTACCAATACAAACTGCACGGCCATATTCTTGAGCAAGTTTTCTCCGTAAAGTACCTGGGTGTTACCATTCAAAGAGAGGTCCGCTGGGACGAGCATATTAATAATGTATGTAACCAAGCAAACCAAGCCTTGGGGTTCTTAAGGCGAAATCTAAAGATTGGCAACTCCTGTGTGAAAGAAAGAGCATATAAAGCCTTTATCCGTCCGATTTTAGATTATGCATCTTCAGTCTGGGACCCATTTACCCAGAAGAGCATTGACAGGTTGGAGGCGGTCCAGCGACGAGCAGCACGCTTTGTCCTAAACCGCTACAGGAATACCTCTAGTGTTGGCAGCATGCTAGAAACACTAGGCTGGTCACCATTGGAGAAACGACGACGACAATCCAGGCTCTCCATGATGTACAAGATAAATAATGGGCTGGTCCACTGTTCCAGTATTAAACAGAAACTCGTCCCTCTCCCCCATAGACAGCGACGAGGCCATGACAGGCAATTCAGGCTCATACCAGCAAGAAGCCAGTATAGGAGCAGCTCATTCCTGCCCAAGACAATCAGGGACTGGAACCATCTTTCAAAAGGAACAGTTGAGGCGACAACACTAGACACATTTGTTTCTATTGCCTCAAGCCTTCAAACCCCTAGTGCATAATTTCCTCATCCCCACCAGTAACAGAAACATTGCAAATCCCATCTACATGCATAGGAGCCAAAATGATCAATAAATTGATCGTGGGCCCTTAAGATATAGAAGAAGAAGAAGAAGAAACCTAAGAGTTTTGGAGAAATAGGCTATTCTCACTATGATGCCATTTGCCTGATTATTTAGAAAAAAATTAATTAAAAATTTTATTTGCAATATTAAGAACGCACTAAAAGACGCACTAAAAAACGACTGATGTTTGGGTTTTCCCGATAAATGTGATTACGGTGTAATTCTTTGATCATGATTTTCTAAATTTTTTCATAACTTTTAAACACATATAAAATGCTTAAAATAGTTCCTTAGTTTATACTTTAAATGTATTTGTAATTTAAAATAATAATACTTAAACGTTTACTAAAATAAAAGCGGATTTACAATATTTTTTGCGCATTTAAATTTTTTCGATTTCCATAACATAATAAAAAATAACTATGATTGTTTTTAGGAATCCGAACGTACTGAAATCATATCTCCCTTTTGGCGTTATGTCGCCCTAGCTCATTCTTATATATGTGATGATTTACAGTGTGCAGTGCCTTGTGTGAAAACAATATTAAACTATTGCCATTTAATTAATTAGTCTTGTGCAAAAGTTGAAAGTTAAAAATAAGTAGTCTCTAATCAATATTTTTTTAGTTGCCTTTTGATAGACACTTATATATAATGGATGCCTTAGACTTGGTTAAATGAACAGTCATATTGTATATTTTATTTACTGATAATGCATACTATATAGCTTAATAGTTTACAATTTTATTATAATTTTATATATTATTACTTTATAAAATAGCGTTCATCCTGAAAATAAATGTAAAAAAATTATCTTTGAAACAAGTGTTATAGCATGTGATGTGATCAGCGGAATAGGTTCATAAAATATGGTGGTGCAGTCCTTAGTAAAAAATTTAAAAAGTGAAATCGCACTTTAAAAATTCATAGCTAAAAAAAAGTACTAAAGATATAAAATTGATTCTGGTTTTCTTTTTTTAAATTTGAAGTGTGCTCTATACAACCGTTATGTTTTTATAATTTTGGGGAAATTTTTTAAATTACTTTACTTAAGTATCTACATTAAATAAGACTAGACATAGGCCTTTAGTCTGTAGACTTATTCTATTGCCTAGATCAGCAACTCTCAACATTTTTAGTTCGGTGATCCCTTGATAACATATGCTAAGCTGAGTGGTTAAAGTCAATGTAGGGGTCAAGGACTGTAATTAACTTAACACAGTGGTTCTTAACCTTTATGGAGGTACTGAACCCCACCAGTTTCATATGCGCATTCACCGAACCCTTCTTAACAGGAAAAATTAAATATGATTTTTTTTCAGATTTTTTTTTTTTTGCACCTCTGCTGAACCCCTCAGACTGACTCACCGAACCCCTGGGGTTCAATCGAACCCAGGCTAAGAACCACTGACTTAGCAATATTTTAAAAAAAATATTTTTTTTTAGAATTATCATGCAGTTTTATTTTCATAATTAAAGCATAAGCATTTCACAACAAACCCTTAACTGGGCTGATGATTTTTTGTGTGTGGATCTTTCTTTAATGATTGTTTTCAAATTTTAAAAAGAATTAAATGTTTACTTTTAATTGTACTATATAATGATCAATGAAAACTTACAAAATTGTCATCTACAAAATTTAAAGGTTTGGCTTTAAAAGAAAACAAAACTGAAGATGTTTTACAATCACAATGTCAGTTATTACAAAAAAATGTATAGTGTGCAATCTAAATTGTCAGTGAGATGTTAAATAATGACATAGTTTATACTAGACTAAAATGTATAAATCTATCAGTATGTTCTACATATAAGTAGTTGTAATATGTTGGTCATATTAGTTTAATTATTAGTGGCGAGAGACACCTTAAATAAAACAAACATTTTTGCGGAGTGTGATGACTTTTGAGTGCCAGATCTTGAGCTTCTCTACTTGGCTTGTCCAAGTTAAAATTTTGCAATTCTGTGTGATCTTGTTTTAAATATTAGATATAAATTCGATTTTAAAAAAATCTGCATTACACAACTCATTAGTTGTCTGATTATTAATCATAAATAGAATTAAGATAAAAGATTGTTATATTTAGATTACATATTTGAAAGTAGGCTAACATGATGTGTATTAAATTTTGAGTAAGCATAATTTTCTATCAGTTATAATAGGGCATGTTAAGTATTGACTATGATTGACCCTCATAGTCCCGTTCAACTATTTTGGATTTCCCATGATGAAAGCCTCATATGGTATTTATTTTTCAAAATTATTACCCTAGTTTGATACTAGAGAGGTCTCTTCTTCTTAATACCAATCAAATAGATTGATGTTACTAAATTTTGTTTCCCGTGTCAACTGGTTAATACATTTGTTTGATATAAATTTGCTTAATCTTAGATTTTACTGACATTTTTTTAAATAATCAATCATCATTTGTCAAATCTAACCCCTAAAAATTATTTATATTTAAGTATCAGCATTAACTTTCTTTTATTAACATGAAGTCTTTCTTTTTTTTAAACTTCAGGTCTAATATCAACAATGGATATTACAGAATTTTCTTCTAAAAAAAAGTTACCTGAAGGCCAACACTTTATTGTTCTACAGCTTCATTGACATTAAAGAGTATGCACAAATTATCAAGACCATTAGCAGGCAATTTAAAAAGAAAAAGTTACATGATTAAATTTAGATCCAGAGTAAAGTGACATTAAACCATCCTTTAATTTTTCCAATCGACAACAAAAAAATTTTACTAGCAATGGATATATAGCTGTAGATAGCTTAAACAAACTGTGGATGTAACAGCACCACTTCTGCAATATGGGAAACTGCCTTGGGAGTTCCAATGTCAGTAACTTTGACAGTGTGAAGGAAAAAGGCAACAGCAGCAATAATAGTGACTCTGGCATTACTGATGCCAAGATGGGAAACAAGAAATCAAAGAACAGATATGAGCAGGACCCGACCGCTGGAAACAACAAAACAAACAATGGCACCACCACCAGTAGGGTCCACACACAAGGGGTGGGCAACCCAGTTGGTAAGATTTACAGTGTTAATGTCACGTGCAGGCATAACCTGTTGTGGGTCTTTGGTTTAGCTAACAATTAAGAATAAAATACTTAAATTTAAAATCTGTATTCTCATTCAGATATATTCTGTATTAGACCGCAAATAACACTCCATTATTTTGATTTTTGAGCTGTTCCCAGCAGGAGCTGATACAATTTCATGGTCTATTTTCTTGCCTTCATTTTTAATCTAGCTTGTTTTAAACTGAACTCCATCTTTTCTTATAAAAATTTCTCCTTTGGTAACCAACCAATTTTAAACCTACACCATTGTGAGATTCATATCCTAGATCATTTTTATATGTTGGTTGTCATGGCGGCATTATTCTAGCTTTATAAAGGTTTATGATGAAAGAAAGAGGAAGCTGTCTTATGAGCACGTGCTTGCAACAAAAAGTAAAGTCTTAGACCCTTAAATTGAGTGTGTAGTTATAATGCCCTTAAATGAGATGACTCGTTTGAAACAGTGTTGAAATTTTTATTTATAAATAGATATTGACTGATAATAACTCTACATACTATTCCAGTCTCCCATGATACCAACAATTAACAACTATACATAATGTGAACAGCTGTTTAAACTTTTATGTTAGAACTGCACATCTAAATTACATGATGAATTATAAAATGCTACTTAAAATAAAACTTAGCAGTTGTACCCCATGAATACCCTATTCATCGGCTGGTGTTTTAAATCTCTTTACTTTATGTCTCACTGTTGCAACTTAACACTTATACTTCCTGGTTTATTCTGCTGAAAGAGATAAGGGCCTGGATTTTTTTTATTATTCACATGATGTCATCTGTCAAAACCAGGATATAAATACTATCGGTTAAATCAGTTGTGTACCATATTTTCATCACATTGTGTAAAGTATTAATAAATGACTGCTTAGCTCAACAAAGAATGGACACCTTAAAACACCATAACTCTTAAACTGTTGCCTTTACATGTATTTTTGACATGCTTTAAAGGCAGTTTACCTAAATCAACACTTCCCACAGAAAGTCCTTGTATAACCTAATTTATAGCTGAGGGTTCTTATTGCTGGGACTGCTGTCTGTTTAAGGCATAGAAGTTGACAATGAATTGTCTTTTGAATAAGTACTGTTTCTTCTTCCAGTTGTTTAACATCTGAGCTAACCAATGTATCATAAGTATGAAAATCCGTTGAGTTTCCTTATGTCCCATCTGTTCAATAAAATAAACAAATATTCATGCAACTGTTAATAGGCCACCTGAGGGATTTTTGGATATGTAGATAGATACACACACACATATAAATACATATATATTATACACACACACACACATAATATATATATATACAAGCAAGAACCCGGCATGCGTTGCAGTGCCACTTAAAGGAAGAAAGTGTTTGTGTTTTAATTATGTTTCTTGAAGTACTTTTTATATATTCAATTTTTATTTTTATTACTGTCTGGTGCATACAGGAATAAATTAGAAGTTTTTTGAAGCATGAGCAGGCCACGTACGGCTGTCCATGGGAGAAGCATGGATTTTTCAAAATTTCATTCATACACCTCATCGATTGATCCACCCATGCAATAGATACGTTTGAAATTATATTTAAATAGCTTATTTAGTATATATAAACAAATTTAGGGCCCCCGGCCCAAAACGGAATATATTAAAATGGATGTACTAATTCAGAAACCTACTTGTTATGTCACATACAAACGGGAATGTCACTGTTTGTATTTCATTCAATTCCATCCACCCATGCAATAGCTCTTTTTGAAATTATATTTACATAGCTCATAAGAAAAAACGAATTTAGGGCCCCTGGCTCAAAACGGAATATTTTAAAATGGTTGTACTAAATTTTAAACCTTTACGGGCATGAGCACAACAACTCACCAAAGTTTGATTGCAATTGGATGAATGGTATAGGAGCACATACGGAAATTATATTTATATAGCTGATATAATAAAAAGCGAATTTAGGGCCTCTGGCTCAAGGCGGAATATTTTAAAACCGTTGCAATAATTTGGAAACCTTTCCTGGTGTGCGCACAACAATTCTGTTAAGTTTTATTGCAATTGGATAAATAGCATAGAAGCGCATACAGAAACTATATTTACAAAGCTCATATAAGAGAAAAACGAATTTAGGGCCCCCAGCCGACAATGGAATATTTTAAAAGGGTTGTAATGGCTTACAAAAATGAGCGGGCATGGGGACAAAAATTCAACAAAATTTAATCGCAATCAGATGAATGGTGTGGGAGCCCATACGGGACATACATACAGACATTCATTTTTATATATACAGATATAATTTTGTTTATCAAAATGAAATCATTTCAACCTTTATTGCTGCTCATGTCACACTTGAACACCTGGGTCTGAATAGAGCCAGATAGAAGTCTTCTTTAACAATACCCCTGTTTTAAGAAAATTCTTTTGAAACCAGCTTCTGAAATCATTTCCCTATCAACAGTCACTGGCGTTTCCATTACAGGAGGTTCCAAGGCTATTCTTACAGCAATGTATGACTATCAAGCAAGGACAGATGCAGAGGTTTCTTTCTTTAAAGGAAATCAGATGAGCTTGATGGATGACTCGTAAGTTCATTCTGTGGTTCACTGTAATATTCACTGGCCTGTTAAGTATATCATGTAGACAACACCCAGAGCTGGACATAATGTTTAGAAAGAGGTCTTACAGGGGTTATTGTTGCAGGGGAAACCCGTTGAAAAAATTTTGTGTGCTGTATGAAGTTAAAGTATCAAATCAGTCATTCATCTCCCACGGCCTCGTCCCACTCTCTTTTAAAAGTTCCTGGTAGCTGTTAGAGCAGAGCTCATCCGTTACTGAAGTACATCTGGACCCTCATCAATTTAAAACAGTTTTAATAGATATGAATCTTTTATGTTTTCGTGACAAGCCACTTGAAATATCATCACCCATTATCAGTAAAGAAAATTAAGGATATATTTTGTTTGTTTGCCTATGACAAGTATCTCAAAGTTGCCTTGCTTACTAAAACATGTAATATTACCTTGAGTGCCGTATGTTAGCAGCTGGTGATTATTGCCATCACTGTTGATTTTGGGAAATGTTAACAAAAATGATATTAATGTTCGCTCTTGAAAGTTGTTGTTAATTTTATACAACAAATTTCAGTGATCAGAATATATGAAACATTGTTAATTGCCCACAAGCAAGTAATCCTTATGAGTCACTGTGACTCTAACTAACATACTAATCAAATTTATTTGTACCAATGGCAAAAATAAAATGCAATATTTAAATGGGGCTAAAAATTCAAGTACGCTTGCTAAAGGGAAAGTGTTTGAGTAAAGGCACATCATTACAAATACTCTGTATTTTTCTTGTCAAAAACTTATTTGGAAACCACTTAGTTATTTTAATCAAATTTACTAATCAAGACATTGCTATGCCTACTTACTGTATGTCCTGACAACATAACTTAAGTTATGACATTGCTGTGCCTACTTACTGTATGTCCTGATAACATAACTTAAGTTATGACATTGCTATGCCTAATTACTGTATATCCTGACAACAAGTTATGACATTGCTATGCCTAATTACTATATGTCCTGACAACATAACTTAAGTTATGACATTGCTATGCCTACTTACTGTATGTCCTGACAACATAACTTAAGTTTTGACATTGCTATACCTACTAACTGTATGTCCTGACAACATAAGTTATGACATTGCTATACCTACTTACTGTATGTCCTGACAACATAATGTAAGTTATGACATTGCTATACCTAATTACTGTATGTCCTGACAACATAACTTAAGTTATTACATTGGTATACATACTTACTGTATGTCTTGACAACATAACTTAAGTTATGACATTGCTATACCTACTACTGCATGTCCTGACAACAGTGCTTTCTAATAGGTTTTTTCCTTACTAAATTACCTCCAACTCTGTGATATGAAAATTTTTTTAAAATTTACTTTAATTTATATTCATAATACAAGTTTTTTGGTGGCCATATAATCTTTAACTTGCTTTGTTGTTTGTCTCATCCAGCCATGCAGATTGGTGGCTTGTGCACATGCCAGATGGCAGAGAGGGCTATGTACCGCATAACTTTGTTGCCAGATGTGATACTTTAGAATCTCACGAGTAGGTCCTAGCGTCATTACATGGTCATTTGATAAATTCATATTTGAAACTAAAGATAAAGTTTAATGCTGTCCCCCCCCCCCCCCCCCCCCCTTCATATTGATCAATATTTATTTTAGAAATAATACTAACGGCAGACAAAGTAAAATCATGCACAACAATTGTATGTGGTATTACATCTGTATTATAATTAGATGGTATTTCGGGAAGATAACGCGGAAAGATGCAGAGAGGTTGCTGAAACTTCCACAGTCGCCTTTAGGAGCATTTCTGATCAGAGAGAGTGAAACAGAAGAAGGTAGGCAAAGGGGTTTGATATTTCTTTTGCATGTGGACTAGATTTATTCTTGAGGAATTCATTTCAATACTTCACTTGTCAGCAATGTAATATTTCACTTACAGAGTAAACCCCACTTTGGTAAATAATATCACACAGCATACATTTTAAGTGATTATGTGGAACATTATAAGTGATCATGTGAAAAGTCAATCCTATATGATATGGGAGATGTATAATACCATACCAATGTGGGTGTGTAAATATGTGTATGTATGTCTATGTGTGTATATATATATATATAAATATGTAAGTATATATATAATATATATTTATATATACATACATAAATATAAAACTTATAGCTTCTGAAAAGCTTACTGAGTTTGAGTAAGTCATGTCTTGAATGTAGTTTTTTGTATAATTTTGTATAACTGTAGGCATATTTCATTCCAGGCATGGTTGTCTTGTGTGTCCATGATAAGGACCCAAGTAGGGGAGACTGTGTCAAACACTACAAAATAAGAAAGCTAGACAACGGAGGCTGCTACATTACGTCAAAAACAGTCTTTTCTAACCATGCAGACCTCATCAAGCATTACCAATGTAAGTAACAATCTAGATTAATAGACTGTTACAGAGAAGGTCATGTATTGTACAGATCTTGCAACTGTCAATGAGGATGTAGTGTACAGATCTTGCAACTGTTCATGAGGATGTAATGTACAGATCTTGAAACTGTCTGTGATGGTGTTTTCTAGCATATCAAACCTGCTTATCTCAACTAGAAACACAACTCCTATCTGGTGCACCCAAGTTTGTCTGGTTTGACAAGCTGGACCGGTTTGACTGAGGCTGGTTTGACAATTTAGTCCGGTTTGACCGAGGCTGGCTTGACAAGCTAGAACGGTTTGACCAAGGCTGGTTTGACAAGTTAGACCGGTTTGTCCGAGGCTGGTTTGACAAGTTAGACCGGTTTGACCGGGATCAAGCCAGTTTACCAGCCTTGTTTGAATTTTTGTCCAGTTTACAAACTCAGTTTGCAAAAAAAAATGTATGTGCCCTGTCTATCTTAGATAGTCTCATACACATATCTTAGATATTATTGTACACAGATCTTAGATGTTATTGTACACATATCTTAGTTATTCTTGTACACATATTATTATCTTAAAGACTCTCGTACAAAGTATTCATTTCAGAACTTGATGGTTATCACATTCCATATTTAAAGTAACTAACCTAAAGTTCTATATATTTAAAGAGTGTCAAGTTCTAATCTTGCATTAGTCAACTTGGGTTTATTTATGAAAAAATTCCACATGTGAATTTGAGGACACTCTGAATATGAGGCCAGAGCAAAATGCTCCGCCTGCAACCTACGGCCATCAACCCCATTTGTCCATGATAAGACAGAGGTAACTTGATAGCATTACAGCCAGTAATCTTCTCATGAAGACGATCAATTTTCCATATTTATCGTGTTTCTACTTCCAAATACCCAATAAACATGATGCGAATTTACAGATACATAGTGATGTATGTATCTTGACTTTAACGTCTGTTGTGGCAAAATCCACCTGCACACACACTCGTCTATTAAAATAGTGTGTAATCATCATTAACAAAAGTGCTTCTGGGAGGTCATCCCTTTATGCCTACTTAGCTACGCCACTAGGACTGGTTTCAAACCTCAAAAGTATTGTAAGCCTAACCCAAGAAGAATGTTTTAAAAATAAAATTTAAAAATTGAGATCAATTTAACCTTAAGACCAATTCCGACTGCTGTTTTTGCCCTGCCATATTTTGAAATTATGTTCATGGTAATCAACTGACAATGACATGACCTTTGGTTTCCGCTGGCGTTTAATTTAATCAAGCTGGCGGTGACATAATTGGTGTGCCTTCCGTCCAAGAGATTTTTAAAAAATTTTTTTATTACAGCTATAACTTTGATTTTTAATGGAATTTTTTTTCCAGCTAAAGATGAAGGTCTGTGTCGCAGACTGACCTCACCATGCCCCAAGCCTAAGCCTGTGATGGATGATTTGTCGGTCGAGACCAAAGACATGTGGGAAATACCCAGGGTAACATTGACATTACAAGCGTTGCTGGGCTCTGGACAGTTTGGTGAAGTCTACAGGGGTAATTTTTATTTACTTTTTTTCTAAAATAATAGCATATTGACTCCCAGCAGTTTATGGCAGTCTCCCATAAAACATGTTCTCCAGATAGAAGTTTTGTTATCATGGGTCACACAACTACTGGCTAACACGAGCAAGTTACCAACTGTCTTTTTGTAGAGCTCAATTAAATTTGATAACTTCTTTTTTTTTTTTTTGTTGTAATTTTGAAACATAACATCCCCAAGAAAGCTGCAAGAGTTCCTCCAGAAATTACTTGCAGAAATATGCATGATTTATTTTCTGTAACAGGCATCTTAAAAGTATTATTGCTCTCCATCTAGGTAAATGGAAGGGCACAACAGATGTTGCAATCAAAACTTTAAAGGAAGGATCAATGAGTGTAGCACATTTTCTGCAGGTATTTCAAGTCTGGCTTTCATTTGTAGTGCTGGGTTTGAATTTGTAGTACTGGTACTGTGTGGTACTGTAATATTTTGTCATTTCTTGATGGTTTCGTATTGTCTGTTATTTAAATTTGAAAAGTCACACACCATCAAATAAACTGAACTAGTAATGAATGAAGCATAGTTTTTAAAGCACAGAAACAAATAATGTATTTTGATAATGCAATAAACGCTAGAATTAACTATTTACAACTTGTGGCAATCACTCCCATGAAGCTAAGATTAGATTTAAATCTTGCGATGAACATTGCAGGAGGCTCAGATCATGAAGATGCTGCGTCACGACAAGCTGGTCCGTCTCTATGCAGTGTGCACACTGGAAGAGCCAATTTATATTGTGACAGAGCTGATGGCCAATGGAAGTCTGCTGGATTACCTTCGAAATGACAGAAACAGACTAATCACTCTGCCTCTTTTAATAGACATGGCATCTCAGGTACTTTCAAGGCTATGATTCTCTTATTGTATTTGGTTGTTTGAACAGAGGTGTGATGTCACTGGGGAATCTACCACCATTGTCTTACAATATTATATTATAGGGTAGACATTTGTAAGAAGCATTCTTTTAAATAGGGACTCTCTAATTTTTACCCTGGCAGTTTGAATAAAACATAAAATATGCAAGAACATACAAACTCAAGCCCAAAAGCAAATTTTTTGTATTAAATGTATCTATGGACACTTTGAATAACTTTTCTTATTTTTAATGACTACTTGAATGACACAAAACATATGAAAATATTTTAATGCCTTCAAAACTGCAAAAAAACACATCTTTTTAAATTATATTGATTCCCCTCCTCTGACCGATAAATGATCTTGCTGGCTGCCGTCCATGGTTTGCCTTGTAAAAGTTATGTGGTGGGGTGGGTGAATACACATTGCTGTTCTTTATTTCATAAATGTATTTTTTTTAATGTCATGATTATGTATCTTTTGATAAAATTTTCATCTTCAGCGCGGTGAGCCCAGCCCTAGGCTGGGGTACCGCGCTGTATAAGACCCCTTATTATTATTATTATTTTGTCTAAACTGCAATTAAAAATTGTGCTTGCTTTTCTCATGAATAATGTTTGTCGGTTTTTTTTTTTTTTGTAAAGGTTGCCAGTATTTTTTTTTTTTTTTTTTTTTTTTTTTTTTTTTTTTTTTTTTTTTTTTTTTATTAATAATTTTTTTTGGTTTTTTTTTTTTTTTGTAAAGGTTGCCAGTGGTATGGCTTATTTGGAAAGCAAAAACTTCATCCATCGAGATTTGGCAGCTCGTAACATTCTGGTCGGGGAAAACAATATAGTTAAAGTTGCAGACTTTGGATTGGCTAGAATACTTGACAGCGAGGAATATAATCCAAAAGGTACTGTTTGGGCTCCGTAAATATCTGATATCATCATTAGCATGCGTATTCTCCTCCACCCATGAATGTAAACTCGACCCATATGCATACACTCCATCCATGCACATTCCCTCCCCTTATACTCTCCGTCCATACACATACCCTCTAAACACGCTTAGTCATGGATACAAAAAATTGAATCAATTATCATTGTTAGTTGACAAATTTTTGCAAATATAGAATGCAATAAATGGTTTATTATCATTGTATTCTGTTTCTTGAAGGTCTGTGTTTTACATTTAAATTTAAAACTCAGATTGTTTCATTTTGGTCCAAATGATTTTGTTAGTAAAACTCAGATTGTTTCATTTTGGTCCAAAGGATGTTGTTAGTACATCTCATATTTTTTCATTTTGGACCAAAGGATGTTGTTAGTGTTTCTTTCTGTTTTCGGCAAACCAGTCTTTAAGAATCTGATTTTGGGATTTACAATCCATTCCCAGCTGTTCCGCACAGCAAGGTCAGATAGATGGGATGTTTTATAAGATAACAACAGCAGTTTGAATCTACTTTTAGAACTTTCAAAGCAACTCGCTTTAGTTACATTTTAATAACACAATTTTTGTACACTCTTGACTCCCATGATGCAAGTTGGAGAGTTTATATATATTACCACTGACCAGACAGGCAATAATGCAATTTGCAAAATTGTTGATAACTTGCCTGCAAAGACAAAGAGACAACAGATTTTATTATAATCACCAGTCCTCTATTTTTGTAAACAACTATTTTTCCGCCCCCCAAAAAACGTATCTCCTTTTATTTATTAAATAAAATAATTGATCAAGTTAACGCTGGACATACTTAGTCCTAGTATCATTAAATTTAGATCACTCTGCTTTTTCCTCATAGGTGCCAGGTTTCCAATCAAATGGACAGCTCCCGAAGCTGCCATGCGACAAAAGTTTACAGTAAAGTCTGACATTTGGTCCTATGGAATATTGTTGTATGAACTTATGACTAAAGGCAGAATACCATATCCAGGTTTGTATCAGTTATGCTTGTGGTGACCTGAGAGTTTTGAAAGCCTAAATTATTTAAAATTAACTTTATTTGGCTACTTTTCTATCTTATCAAGCTTGACAGATCCATTTTGTGTGTGTGGAATGTTGGGTTGCCTGGGCTATTTTTACTGGCATGATTAATTGATAATAAGTTATTCAAAAAAGCATTATTTTAAAATATAACTTCTTTATTGTAAATTGAGCAGTCATGTTCTTTGTCTTTGTAGAAACATGAGGCATGCTTGTCATATGAAATGGATTACCGATTTCCCCAGAAAGGGACCATTTTTTTAAATTCTAAGACTAAAAACTGATGGTTTTTGTATATTGGAACCCTGAATGCATTTTTAAATCTATTTTTGTTATAAGCATCAAGTTAAAGAAACCAAATGTCTCATTTTTTTTTGTATTTTCAGGCATGGACAACAGAACAGTATTAGAACAAGTTGAACGAGGCTACAGGATGGACAAGCCAACAGACACACCTGAAGGCGTGTACTCAAAAATGCGTGAATGCTGGCATGAGAGGCCGGAGCAGCGCCCCACCTTTGAGCATCTGTTTGTTTATTTCGATGATTACTTTATCTCTGTGGAGCCCAACTACCGGGAAGCTGACTGAGATTTCAATGACAGATGTGGTGTCGATTAGGTCCTAATCTTATTTATTAAATGTTAATTTTTTTGTCAATTTTGGTTTTATAGATATTTGGGAATTTAAAAAAAAATTTTAACTATCCCTCTCGTTTCCTACATTTTCCTGCGTCCTGGAGTAGAAAACGTGGGCACAGTTTTTCAGGATTTTGTGCCAGGAGGAAAACATAATTCTGCATTGTTCAATAAAAACTTGTGAGAAAATTGTCAACGAATTCACTGCAAACACACGGACAAGACATGTTTAAATTATCAGATGGGCAAGTAAATAACCACACATTCAGAAATAGAAACATTTATGGAATTTTGATTCAAATCGAACTTTTCTTTTATCACCATTTTCATTGCTTTGCCCAATTTTGTCCTCATCATCTACTGTTTTTTAAAGCTTAACAGCAAGTTATATGTTTAATTAAAACAAGCAGGAATATTCAGAGAGGCACAAACAAGTTATATGTATGATAAAACAAGCAGGAATATTCAGAGAGGAATAAAGATGTGATATGGGCCAACTGTCATAGCTGGTATGTGTGTAAATGGCCCTTACATTTATTTGCTGATCTAAATATTCAAAAGCCTGAAAAAAAGCAAATAACTGTATGATAGTGGAAGAAAGTAAAGATATCCTTCGGTAAAGATTATTAATATTTTTTTTTATTGTACACATGTTACATGTTTTTGTATTTAACCTCAGCCTACTTAAATACTTAATTTATCTGTTTGTAAAAATGCAGTCAGGGTGTGTTGCTTGCATGATAACGACTCTCAACCTGTGTCAAAATATAATTTTTAGATATGTGGTATGATATTTTAATTTGTATGATTAATCAAATCTAAGTGTAAACTTTTTCTTATCATTGAGAGTTAAAAAAATTATTTTAAAAAAAAACCTTTTTATCTGTTAAAGTTGAAATGAAATGCTCAAGTACAAAGAAAGCCAACCATTGATCATGTCTGAGTATTATTATTATTTTCGGGTTGGGGTTTCACATGGAAATATTTTATAGGAAATATGTTTTTTCTTTGCAGTGCAATATGAAACAAGAGTTATAATTACTGTATAAAATCTACATATGTATTTTACCGACAATCTTATTTTGTTTTGGAATTTCTGTACAAAAATGTGTATATGTATTTTACTGACAACATTTTTTTGTTGTATTGTCATAACAAGACTTAAAAATGCTTGCTTCCTTTAAAACAAAACACAAAAATGGTGTGCTGCTTGTTTAACATTGTGATTTTTCTTCTTTTAAAAAAAAAAAAAATGACACTACATGCCAATAATAAACCACATTATAATTATTTCAGCATTAGTCACTGTGCCATTGTATTTAAAACTAATGATTGTGTAGCAAAGATTGCTCCTAGTATTTGGTTTCCTCAAGACAATTTGCTCTATCAATATTTCTGACACCCATTACCCGATTAATATTTTTTATATTTATCATTATAAGATTGTTTAGAATCACCATTGTATAAGATTAGTAAGACTTTAATTTTAGTAAGACTTTAATTTTGAAGGGAAAAAAATAAATTGTCAATACTGATACTTAAAAAAAAAAATAATCTGCTGTATAAAGCTGCTGTACAATTTAAATGTTTTCGTTACCATTATGGAATAAAGAATTCGCTAGTGCCCAGGAATGATAAACATTTACATAAATTTCAGCGTTTATGAAATTCAGATTTTATGATTTATTTTTATGGTTTATTTGTTTGTACATCATATGCTTTTTTATTTTCTACAATAACTTATTTCATTTTTAAAGATAAAACTATTAGAAGGTTTTTCATTTCAGTCAAATACTCTTGCGCTAATTAAAATTGAATGTTGGTTTTTTTTTGTTTTGCTTGTGCTGAATCTCTATGCAAACTGAAATGATATGATTTCACACTTGTTACATCATACATGTTGAGCAAGAACCAATGCCATTGTAATTAATTTAATCATCACAATGTTGTGGGCCAGCATTGGTCATAATACACAAAATCCCACCATCAACTAAGACCATAATGTCATGAATACTGTCTCGGTCCTAGATAGGGAACATAATCTTGCATATGAGTGCTTCAAGTCATCTCACTGGTGGAGTTGTTATCTTGGGGTATCAGTTTAATTGTATTGTTAGGTGCAATCCAAATATTTATGCAAATTCCACTGGGATGAGTTGCAATGTGGCAACATGATATCTGTGAAGGCAGTGAGTTATGCTGAATTGGTTTCATAACATAATTAATGCATTATTAAATATATAACTCTGTTGCTGTTGCTTGGCTTGAATCCAGCTCAGTAATTCCTTGTGCACTGCTCAATGGCACCAAAGAAAAAGTCACTCTAAAGATTCAGATGTCGACCAAGAAAAAAGGTAGCAAGTTTTTAACTCTTAATATGACACACAACTTTGACACATAACTACAGTAATAATTGTCAAAAGTGAATGTGCCATTTCGGCAGCTCATTTTATCATCAAAACTATTTTTAACTTCCAAAAAGCTGTAACTGGAGTATATTACATACTGTTGACAGTTTTTTTTAGTATTACTGCCAAGAATTTAAAAGCAAGTTTATTTATATTATGTGTGTGCGTTTTTAATACATATTTTTTTACTAATAATCATATTAGACATATCCTTAAAGCCTGCTTCAAATTGATTTACTTAAGGATACAATGGCTTGAAATTTATTAACATTTGGATACAACAAATTCAAATTGATTAACATTCGGATACCAAGCCTGTGAGATGGCCGCAAAACATGGTAGAAAGAAAAAAAAGTTCACATTTTTTTTTTCGCTGAAGCAGTTGATAGAAACTAATTATTTATTATGAAAGGAACACTTCTGAACTATGAGTCGTCATGGAAACTAAGGAAATATTCTCCCCAAAATTTATTTTAAATGGCAATGTTTACCTATTTCTTTTTCTAGCTAAAACTCTTTTGCTTTCTCTCTCAATATACATAGTTATTGTTATATAACCAGCTTGTCAAAATCCTAATAAGATCATACATAATAATGTATGTTGAAAAGATTTTGTAAATTTTTTGTACCGTAATTTAAATATTTTGTTTAAAAAACTTATTTCTGCAGCTTCAAATTAATGTTAAGTATATCGCAGAATTCGGTGATAATTATTATCAGGGTGGTCAAAATGCACAAAACACTGAATGGTGGTAACAGCAAATCAGTTTGTGCTGGCTGTATGGCAGTAATGGCTGTATGCTTGAGATCAGCTGTTTTTTTTTGAGGTTTTTAAATTTCAAAAAATTGTGTAATGTTTTACAAATGTAGCAACTCAATTATTAACAATAGATTTTATATTTTTGATAATGAAAGAGATTTATTTAGTATCATTTAAAATTGTAATGATCAAAATGTTTGTAGAAGTTTTCTTTTTTTTACTTTTTAATATTTGTGTAAGCTACTAATGTGTCAAAATCAATGTGCATTGTACTAATAAAGTTTACAATAAACTTCATGAGTGAAAAAGCTCTGGCAAACCTATAGTTCAATTTAGATCCTTAAATCTCTCATTTTAGTTTTATTTGAGAAATGATTCACACTGAATAACATAAAAGAATTTGGTCATCCTGCTTATAATATTAAATAATATACAGTTTACAATTTTCCAGAAATTCTCCCTCATTTCATGTTACTCACTTATTTTTTATTATTTCTATAGTAGGCAGCCCACATTCTTCTAATGACATTTTTTGATGAGCTTTTGGTGTATGATTTTTATATAGAAATTGCAGCACCCATTAACACAAATCATGCTAATTATTAAAATCAAAGTGATCATTTATTGTGTACATTTTCATTACTGATAATAAATAAAAAGAATGTAACTAGCTGGTTACACCAGGTTAACTTAAGTACTGTATTGTTCTGCGTAGTTATTTTATCATGCTTAAATGAATACCAAATTTTATTGACTCTTGGATTGTTTTCAATTACATCAAGTTAGATGTAAGATTTTTTTTATTTTATATTGTCAGTGGGCTGTGCAGGGGTTCTCAAACGTGCAGCTTTCTATTGTACATGTAAATTTAATGAAATATGTGTTATATTCAACAAGAAGTTGAATGCTTTCTTACCTAGGAGGCCATGATTTCACCATTTGATAAAACATGTTCAAATATTTTACCCCAGGAATAACGATAGAAATAACTTTTTTTAACTATTGGTGAATATCATGTCAAACAACTTTTTAAAATGTTACATTTAATTTATTTTCACTAATCCAATATGTAGTTTTTTTTAACTGTTTCAGAACACTGGGTGTCTGGGGGATACCTGCCTGCTTTTGGTTGTTTGTTTCTGTGTAATGTTATCAAAGTTTGTCATTTAAAGTTGAAATGCAAAGAAATAAAACTTTTTTTTATCTTTCTCTTATTTAAAAAAATGAAAGTTATACATAATATTATTAATATAATGTCAACTGCTAAATGATGCACCATTGTTGTCCATTGACAAGCCTGGACTCAATATATTATTGACAGCTGAATAATGGTTAATGGACTTTTCCTATCAGCACCCAGATATGTGTGTTGCAATATAAATGCATATAAGAAAATTTTAATTACCCCATAAACTGTTGCCTATGCAACCTTATCTTCTGGGATGAGGGCATATGATATCTACACACAACATTAGTAATGTAAGTAGCGTCCCTTTGAAGGAATATTATCACAGTTGTATCGGTATGACAACAGTTTATTCTAAATATTGTAATATAAAGAATTTGGACGTTTTTATTAAAAATAAATATTAATTTTGTTTATTTGTAGTGTATTTTTATGGACCATGATTAACAGATTGCATTATCCGTGGGAATAGCATTTGAAAGCTTTCTTTATTTCTTTATTCAACTTTTTTTATTCAAACAAAAATTGGTTTGTGTTATAAGTGGAATACGTTATACAGCAGTTGTATTCTTCTCTAATCTGATTTCAGAATAACAACTCATCTCATTCACTACAATGCATTGACCTGATCAGCTATGTTTTTTCAAACTGGCATGCTACAAGTTTCATAAAGGACTGTGCAGAAATTCACTCACAGAGGCTTTTTTCTCCTCTTCCCAAATGTTACACTATGTTTCCCAAAATTTTATTGAAGCAAAATTACCCACAACCAATGTTCCCTCTAAGGTTTGTTCGTTCGTGTGCAAAATCATAAATTTTGTGTGCAAATATTTACAGCATCAATTTTTTTGTGCGCAAATTTTACAGACACAAACACACCCTTAAGTGGAAATTAGCTGCCCATACTCAAAACTGCTGAGCGGCGTCTGTGAGATTACTGCTCGACAGCGCAGCTTAAAGGGAACATTGCCCACAACCCGATACTTTTTATGAAGCCTGCTTAAAAAGAGTAAACTTATTGAAAACAAATTTGCAGTTTAATATCACTCATCATTATTTTAAATTAATACATATTTAATGAGATAATCAAAATTGTCAGTTGTTTACAGTACAAGTTTCTAAATTTTCGGTTGATTTTTTTGTATTAATTTCAATCGTATGTTATTTTCAACATCTCATTTGTTGCCTTTTTCAAATAGAGAAGTATTGAAAATCCTCATTCACAGATTTGTAGAAGGAAAGGGGTGTATTATGATATATTCAAATTTTAAGACAGTTAGTAAAAATTGCTTTTTTAATTTCTTTTAGTTGACTATTTTATTTGCAGCCTCAAAAAAATAAAAGTAAAAAGCCTTTGAGACCAATGGGTTGGGATCATGTAAGTCACATGTTAATAAATATCTAAACCATAAGGAATTTGGAATACCTTGTGGCTATTAATAATAAGCCATATGATTTGGTATGAAAGTAGTTTAATCTCTTTAGTTCATGGGGCAAATTTATGTACAGCTAAGCTCACAGCAATGTCAGAAATTCATTGCATTTCACTATTAAATAATTTAATCACCAAGTCAACCTGCTAAATCTACCAGAGAGCAAAATGGAAAGCCAATATTTAAATGTTCAAATATCAACATTTAATGTAATGAGATACGCCCATGATATAAATCTAGGCACCTTATATTGTACGATTCCATTGAAAACCAGCAGCTGATAACTCAATATTTTTTATTTAGTTTCCAAGGTGATCTAAAAATAAAAAAAAAAAGAATTCACCCATCATCAGTCATAATTATATCTCTGAGTGCAGATATGAGATTCTCTTGTCAGCACCCTGTTTGGCAACAATCACTGTTTGAATTCTTACAAGACATCTCTTCAACATCTTTTCAAACTATCATTTCTTTTAAATTATGCAACTACAAAAACATTAATATTATTAAATTGATGGTCCCTACTTGGTTTACCAGATAACACCTGGGATTATTGTCACATGGCTAATGTCCAGCAACCTACTGTTGTTGGGACATCAGTAAAAAGCTTCAAGGCTGCCCTGGCATCAGCTAGGAGCTATTAGAATAGCAACATCATATCCCCAACCGTTGCAAAAATGCCAGTACATGGATGCAGCAACGAAACATTACCAGAACCAGAACTGTACAATGGTTGAAAGCAAAGTCTTTGCTTCATGTTATCGTGCTGGCAATTTTAGAAAATAATGCATTGTATTGGAAGAACTATTTTAAGTTCATGTAACATAACATACTTCTCACACAAAGGGAACATAACCCACTACCTTTACAGCTAGGCAACATAACCCAATTTTTACACAAAGGGATCAACCCACCACTAGCTCAGAGGGAACATGACCAACAACTTACATAAAGGGAACATGACACACCACTCATACCAGCTCAAAAGGAACATAGATCACTACTCACACAAAGGGAACATTATCCACTAGCAGCTCAGACGAAATAAAGGGAACATAACCCACTATTCACAAAAAGGGAACAATTAACAAGAAAGATATATATATATATTACTATTTCTTTTAATATTATCTAAACGCATTTAAGAAAAGTAAGAAACTATTTTTTTAAAATATGGGCGCAAATATTTTAAAAAGAATTAATTAAATTTAAAACTTAATTTCCATTGCCATTGTATAAATTTTAATAAATATGTTAATTTATATCATTCTGAAGAAGTATTTATTTACACATGACCTGGAAATAAATTGAACTAAACACCACGCTGGGTAAACAATCGAACCCAATTATCAGTAGGCCTAAGGACCTTAATCATGACTTTATACAAAATTTAATTTTACCTTGGAAAACATTTTTTTAAATGTTTAAAAGAAATCACATCTCATTTGCTTTTTATTACCCTACACAAAAAATAAAGTTAAGTCAAAAAGAATACTGTTTGTTCATTTAATTTCTACAAAAATCTTGACATCCATCTTTCTAATTTAAAAGATCTCACACTCCAAAGTCACGGACTACACTGCATTTAGCCAATTTAAATATGAAAGTGAATTGTGAAGCTATACAGACAATTACTAGGCAAGGGTTAAATTTGAAATGATAACATTTAATGATAAAAGGTATGGCAACCTTAAGTCTGATTTTGGCATTTAAATGTGACATTGGTGGCAACTGAAGATCAATAACATCAAATTTTGTTGAACATAGTTGAGCAAACTGCTTCACCAGTGAAGTCAGTATTTATTTACACATGACTTGGAAATAAATGAATTGAACTAAATACATTTGGTCAACAAGGTGATAAACAAGGGTGGGTAACAAGTCTTTTTAAAAATACAAATATTTGGAGGATATAATATAAATATAATGCTCATCAAAAGCAATCTTAAAAATCTTAGAATAAAACTTATAAATGTAATAAATATTTTTTTAATTTTCCTGACTTGTTTATTTTTTTTTTTTTTAAATGTAAGTTTATTAAATGGTCTGAAAAGTATTGTATAAATATAAGTGAATGTAGTTTTATATACAAAATAACAAGAAAAATTAGAGCTTGGAAAGACAAACTAATTCCAAAAGCTCAACCTGGAATAATAAACTTTTATAATCTTCTGGTTTTGTCAGCTTCTTTATATGCCTCTTTAACAGCTTCACGTGACCTTTCATGTTACGCAGCACAGAAGCATCTCTCTCATGCAGGCTGTGGTTCGACGGATGTGAGGGCATGGACATGTAATATGAACTGACAAGGGAAGTGAGTAACGATAAGAAATCTGCACAGTCTTTTTCAAATACATATTTGGCTCCTATAACTTCCTCATACAAGGAGGATAGTGGGGCAGTTTCATGGATGGACTGAATGTCAATGCACACAGACTGAGAAAATGTCTCCTCAGAGCTTCCTTGATCAAGTTCAAGTACTGAGTCAGACAGAGTGACATCATTCAGTACTTCCCGCATCTCTGATGTGTAGGCCAGGTCCAGGGCTGTCCATCCTTCTGTGTTCTTGGCGTTCAGCAGTTGTTGGCCCCCATACTTGAGCAGCTGTCTGCAGATTTCCACGTGGTTCTTCTCAACTGCATCTATCAAAGGTGTTACACCATCAGGTCCAATAGCATTTAGGTCCACCTTGCAGGCAGTGTAATCCTCTTGCTCTAAAGCACTGCTGATGGTTGTGTTGGGAACATATTTGAGCAACAGCATGACACAGTCGTAGCTGCCATGATGGCAAGCCTCGTGCAGTGGCGTCCACCCTATGTTGTCTTTTAGGTTGACATCTACACCTGGTACCGTCAACAACTGCTGCAACTTTTCCACATTGTTTCTCTTACAGGCCACATGAACTGCTGATTCCCCGAGCCCATTTCTTTTGTTCACTTTTAATGTCTTCTGCTTTGAATTAATCAGACCATTTTTTTGAGGAGGACAGATAGAATCAGACAGACTGGAAGCACTGGATTTGTCAGAGTGATTTGAACTTGATGCATTCATCAAAGATCTCTCAGTAAAACTGCACTCTTGAAGAGGTGGCACTAGGAAAAAATATTGAGACACAATGCTGGACAGTGAAATCTTGTTGACATGGATTCTTTCTGAGATTAGGTAGTTGTTATAACTTGACAAAATGACAGCTACCACAAGAGTCCTCAGCCAGCAGAGCTTAACGGAACTGATAACAAGGGCTGCCGTGTCAAAACCCCTCACACTAAGGCAGTGCTGTAGTTTTTTGGCCAGATCATGGCTGAGAGCTAAAGCGGGGTCAGAAACAAAGTTAAGATCTTCAGGATTCCACCGAACACTTGCGAGACGCACACATTCTGCTGCCATACTGATAAGGGAGCACAAAGCTACACACAAAGGGAAATTGGGCTCAGGGCTGGTTATGACATCCTCCAAGAGTCTCAGCAGTTGACTGGTTGAACTACTGTGGAAGACGGAATGTGGACTTATCCAGAGCCACTTGATTATCATGCTACTTTGGAGAATTTTTTTGTCGCCTTGCCTGAGGCAGTGGTCGAAATTGATTTCAAACATCAAGACACAGAACTCTACAAGCCAGACGGAGATGAAAGGCTCTGGTTTCTCCATGCAAGATTTGATTGTGTCCATGAGGAATGTGTTGCTGGGGCTCAGGCTGAAGGCTTCTGTGTATAATTTGATAGTCTCTGGAGTGACAGGGGGGTGCAGTGCAAGCCATTCCCTTAGGTAATAGTTGGCCTTGTCTCTGACCACAGCTTCTGAACACTGCAAGAGGAGAATAAGCTCTTTTATCAATAAGGTGGTTGGTCGTCTGTCAGCCCGGGGAGATGCGTGATTACACGACATGTCATAGAAATCAAACCCTCTAGCCGACTGCATCCATTCTCCATAAAGGTAATTTATCTCTGGGCAAGCTTTATAAAGGCCTGGATCCACCCCTATGGGATATGAGAATGTCCACCCTGATGACTTATGGAATGTTAAAAGTTCTTCAGACGCTGAGTTGTCATCCGCAATGATAACACCATTTTCAGGCGAGTTCTTTTTCTTTCTTTCCTGAACTCGTTCGCTTTTCCTGACACAGTACGTGTTGAAGATCTCTTTCAACTCAGAGCTTAAAGATGCACTCTTAATTTTTGAATTCCAGTCAATGTATTTATCTTCTGCATGCTCTGGCGAACTTGCGCCTCCCTGAGACACGGCTCCCTGAGACATGGCCGGAGGATTTGATAAAGGGTGGGTTTTCTCATTATCGTTTGTACAGAGTTCAGAGGTCAAATACATTTCATTCATTAGAGAGAAAATATTTTTGGAATGGCTAGAAGATTTAATTTTTGTCTGACCCTTCTCAAGTTGATCAAAACTTGTCAAAACATGGCTGTCTGACGGCTCAGACTTAACAGCTGATGCAGCTGCTGAAGGATCATTGTCTTCTTCCAAATCGATGACCAAGTCATTGCTGTCACTGGCCTCGATGGATGGGGCATGTAATTGATGAACAATCGGTTCCATAGACGTTGTGGGTGAATTTAACAATTCTGTGCTTAATAAATGATTGGCATGGGTTGTTGACAACTCGTGAGTTGTTACTGGAGATGTTGTCAGTGTATTTAAGTTAATTCTCATTAAGTTACGTCTTGTTGGAGCCTTCGGGGTGTAGTGCACTGGTTTTGGAGAATCTTCGACTGAGATTTCTCTTTTCAAACCTAACAGAGTAAAAAGTTTTTAATGAAAATTTTCGACTCAACACTAGAAATATTAGGTAAGGTAATTTTAAAATAATGACTAGTTTTAATATAAAGATATTAGATAAATGTATATTCTGAAAGTTGAAAAAGTTTCAACAATTGTTAATAACTGATGTACCTTAGGCAGTAACGTTAAGAAGTAACTTCAAGCAGGCAGAGCTTCAAAGCCCTAGTAAACACTAAGATCAACATAAAGTACCGGTACTTTACTCTAGCTGAAACAAACAAAAGTACCTACTCTAGCTCTAACAAAAAAATACCTTACTCTAGCTCTAACAAAAAAAATACCTTATACTAGCTCAAAGAAACAAAAGGTACCTTACTCTAGCCTAACTCTAATAAAAATTATCACACTGTAGCTCAAACAAAATTAACTTGCTCTAGCTCTAACAAAAGTTTTTTGTTGGTTTTTTGTTGTTTACACAGTAAGTTTCATGACAACTTCAGCTTTTTGCATAATGCCGAAATGTCACAATGCCAACATTACTTTAACTGTTCCTGCCATCATCCCTCTATCATTGTACATACTAGAACATTTAGTCAGAAATTGATATGGGCCAGTTTTTGCAGTAGTGTCTTTTTAAAACATAATTCAACATTTAAGGGGTCTTTCAAATGAAATGCTTTATGGGACAGTTTATAGTCTACCCAATGTTGGTCCATGAATATCAATCTATAGTCTACCCTATGTTGGTCCATGAACCTCAATCTACAGTCTACCCAATATTGGTCCATAGATCTCAATCTATAGTCTACCCAATGTTGGTCCATAGATCTCAATCTATAGACTACCCTATGTTGGTCCATAAATCTCAATCTATAGTCTACCCAATGTTGGTCCATAGATCTCAATCTATAGTCTACCCTATGTTGGTCCATGAATCTCAATCTATAGTCTACCCTATGTTGGTCCATAAATCTCAATCTATAGCCAACCCAATATTGGTCCATGAATCTCAATCTATACTCTACCCAATATAAGTCCATTAATCTCAGTCTATATTCTACCCAACGCAATGTTGGTCCATAGATCTCAATCTATAGTCTACCCAATGTTGGTCCATAGATCTCAATCTATAGTCTACCCTATGTTGGTCCATAAATCTCAATCTATAGCCAACCCAATATTGGTCCATGAATCTCAATCTATAGTCTACCCAATGTTGGTCCATGAATCTATGTACTCACCTCTCTGGTATGAAGACGAGAAACCAAAGTCTTGCAGGCTAAGTTGAGTCTTCTTGGGTGATGATTCCATGGGTTGTGACAAACCTGTGTTCAACTGGGAGAGAACTTTGCTGTTCCTGCGGTCAACGTTTCTCTGTTTCCTTTTTGCAAACTTCTGGGATTTATTTTCATCTTTTCTACGAGTTCTGGTCGAGGCTTTTGAATGTTTAGTGTTAGAATCACGGGGTGTAGATGTCTTTAGCTTTGGTTTAGATTTTGTTAACGACTTTTCCACTGAAGTAAAACCATGAATGTAAGGATTAGGTGGTAAGGTGAGTAAAGGTTTTGACTTTTTGACAATGTCTTTCTGTACTTCCACTGAGATCAAAGGTTTGGTGTCTGCTTCGTCTGAGTTAGACATTGTGTTTGAATGTGAGGTCACTTCATTGTTAGGGCTCACAGAAGATTCTATTGCTGAACTAATGCTGGAAGTGCCTGCTTTATACAACTGCTTTGCTTCATTAGATTGTAGGAACTTATCATGGCTTTCAAAAATTGGACTTTCAGTAGAAGGTTTCGTTGTTTTTGTGTCATACACATTTCGCTGGTAAGCCAAAGACTCTGACAAGACAGCAGGGCTATCAGATGTGCGAATTATGTTTCCATTAAGTGGGTCAAGCACTGGTTTTGATTTCTTTAGCAGTTTTCCAGTTAAATCAGATGTGGATTTGAACAATTTTTCTTCATTAACAGGAGAGCCAAGTCTTTTTGGGTTATCTTGAACTGCTGTGTCCAAGCTTCTGATTTTGTCTACATCTCTATTCTTTTTTAAAGGTTTCAGGTTAGTGCCAAGAGTTTTGGACATTTCTTCAGAATCACTATTATCTGATGGACGAGGATGACCTTGGGAGAGGCCATGGATGTAAATATTTGGAGTCAAAGTCAGTCGTACTCTAGGAGACCAAGATTTTAAGTCACTTCTATTGGAATGTGAGTCCTGAATGTTTTTTACATGTTTGGAGTCTGTAGGCCTGGATATTGAGTGTACAGAATCTTTAGTCTGTAAAGTTGATGTGGTCAAGGTATGGGAATCTAGATTACTATTATTTATGAATTCTCTTGCTACACTTTTTGTGTCGAATTTCTTTGCAGTAACCCTCCTTTCTGATGACTGATTGTCTAAGTCATCCCGTGCTAACTCATCCCTACTTGAGCTGTCAGAAATTTTTTCATGGAAGCGAGACAATTCTCTGGATCCAGGAAGCTTGGTTTTGCCTTGCACTTGTTCTCTATCTTTTTTCCTCTGTTTCAATTTCGCATGACCAATCCCAGAGTTTGAATGGAGTGTGCTGCCTGATTGCTGTGAGGAACCGTAGAGATAGATGTTCACATTTAAAGACTTGTTAAGTTTTGTGGACTCGGGCAGACCAAGCTCAGAAAAGTTTGCTTCTTTTTTGTCCTCACTTTCATCCACAACCGAATCGTGATCATTGGCGATAGATCTCTTGGCCTTTTTACCCCTTTTTTGAGGATTTGTTCCACTATGTAGATAACTGTTAAAATATTTACTACTCAGATGGAGGCTGTCACCAGGAGTATTTGCCAATTTGCTGTTGTCTCCATTGTCCCATTTCATCCTATAAACAGAATCGCATGAATTATTTTTTTTAGACATATCAACGTATAATTTCTTAAACAGTTGAGGGATTTCTGTCTTTCCATCTTCACAGCCATCAATTTTCTTTTTACTTGTTGCTATCTTTGTCTCAGGTGCTCCATATCCTTCGTCTAAAGGCAACAGTCCTTCGACTATCTCAAGTATATCTTTGTGCTTTTCTATGGGGATGTTTTTGATGCTGACAGTCTTCTTCTGTGATATGCAGGTTATATAATGAGACTGACCATTTGGACTGCTCACGGCAGCCTGAGACGGGATCTGAGGCCTGATAATTTCACCATCTGCTTTCACGAGATGGTCAGTAGGTTTTTCATCAAAGTGTAACAGTTGACTTTCAAAGCAATGGCTTATTGGATTATTGCTTATGATGTAGTCAAACGGGTCAAGAACATCATCCTGTTTAAGATAAGATAAGATTAAAATAATATAAGATTAAGATAAGAAAACGAATTAAAAAAGAAAGAAATGTTTTGATAACACTGTACATTTTTTGTTCAGGACAGGTATTTGGAAAATAGTCTGATTCACATAATGACTTTAAAACTAGAACGATTTAAGCTAAGACATAGGTATTTCTCAAGTGCAAATATCAACCATAATCATCATCATCAGTGGCGCTACAGCCCATGTAGGGCCCTGGCCTGCTCCACCACATCCTTCCATTCGGAGCGATCCATGGCTTTCAGCCTCCATGCCCAAACCCCCAAATGGTGTAAATCCGTCTCCAAATCGTTGATCCATCTCAGCCTTGGGCGACCGGTGAGTCGTCTGCCCCTAGGCTTCTAGCTGTATATAGCTTTTGCTGCTCTACATTCCTGCATCCTTTTGTCATGTCCTGCCCAGCGTAGTCTGCCTTTTTTTATCATTGTGACTATGGGAGGTCTTTGTACAAATGGTAGAGTTCTTGGTTTGTACAGATCCTCCAAATATAATTTTCTATCAATGGGGCGTATATTTTTCGGAGGATTTTCTTCTCCCATGTGTTGAGCAGGTTCTCTGCTTTTCTGGTAAGGGTCCAATCTCACTAGCGTAGGTTGCTACTGGTCTTATTATGGTGGTGTATATTGTCTTCTTTGTTCCCCTTGAAAGGTTTTTGCTTCCCAGTGGCTTTTGTAGGCTGAACTAGGAACGGTTGCCTGCTGTTATCCTTTCTTTCAGCCCTGGGCACAACCGTCTGGGGGATGCCCCTTGCAGCTCTCAGGGTAGCTGCCTTTGTATTGGGTCGGGTCCCTAGCCTATGTGGATCCCTCCACTTCCTACAAGGCAGTAGGTACTGATTTTGTTCCGACCCGGTATTTTATTTCCCCGGTACCCTCCATATCTGGTGGGCTTTCCCCTATCCGCCACCTGGGGAGACGCTCGATAGAAGATCAGTATCTCCTCAGGAGGTTAACCATAATATAATAATATATCATAAAATCTCACTTCCTTTTTAATGAAAATATTGACTTTAAGCAGTTTTCAAATAATTTTAATGGGACAACTTTTAATTTTCAATTCCATTATTTATCTTAGACTAAAATGGTAGTTTATGGACTGGGCCAACACTGGGGCCTTCTTTCAACTTACATGAAAAATGATTTTAGTTATGGCATTTTGTTGCAGATTTGTTCATATTTGCAAAATGATCAGGTAGAGGTGTCCTTTTTCACAAGTTTATAGGGTGAGTGGGGGTTTAAATCTAGAAATTTCCAGAAAGTTCTATATTGCTCTACAGGGAAAAATTGGAATCTAAAAGCTTATGGAATTTTCTTTTTTTTTAGGTCTTTAGATTTCTATACCTTCCTTGGAATTTGTTCAGTCGGCACATAATGGGATCCAAACAAGGAACAGAATTACACCGAGATATGGGATATGGAATCCTACCAAGGAATGAGATTCCAAAGGAGAATCAGATTACAACAAGTAATGGGATCCAAGCGGGGAATGGAATCCCACTGGTATCGGGATCCAAACTAGAAATGGGATCCTTAGGGATTGTATTTTAAAAATGACTTTTTTTTTCAAAGGAAAATTTTTTTTTTGTTCTTTCTTTAGTGACACGTTTTTTTTTACAGGACCGTTAATTTCTGTTTAGGCTGGAATTAAAGTTTTTTTTTTTTTCGAATGCAATCCCAGACAACGTTGGGTACATTGACTAGTATTATATAATAATTTTATTATTCATTAACAGATCATAGAAGGCATGAGGAAACTTTCCATAATAATTTATGTAGAAAACAATACAGCGCTACAAAAGGCATTAAAACAAAATAAAATTTGATTTATCTAATATTGAATTTACAAATAGTTATGTTTAAAGAAAATTTCTATTCACAATTGAATATTTACACAATTATTTTAATTTTATATTAGGAAATATGTATTATGAGACAATCTCAATCAAAGTCAGTGGAAGTTAGCATTTACATTAACTGAAAATGTTGCATACAATTTATTACCTTGATAATAGTGTCAATGATGAATTTCTCTGTGAGACCGAGAAGCCCATACTCTAAAAGCTGATTAGCTAAATGAAAATTTGAATGATCTAAGAAGACATATGTAATATCTTGCACATTTTCACTGTGCACATCAGATGGTAAAGTAATGATAGAAGCCCCACCATAGGCAAGCAATCTGAGAAAAAAAGTGTATTTTCAAAATTACTCCAATTTTCATTGAATAGCTTCCCTTAAATTAAATGTTACTAAATTTCTTCAGTTGCTGTATCCTATTTTGTGAGTAGTCTTCTAACAGGATTTGACAATGGAAAGCAATTTCACAAGATATATGTTATTTTTTTTTTTATGTTTAGAATACCGAAGTACTTTTCTTTTATTAAAAAAAAATATAGCCACTGGTAAATTAGGAAGATGAACTATTTTTATAAAATAAAATAAACGGTAAATCTAAGTAAATTTCAATGATGTAACATGAACTCACCTGTTGTAAACACAGAACTTTGAAAACTCCAAGGCCAGTGCTACATGCCAGCCATTAAAAGGCTGTTCCTGAAACAGAGAGACTTTCCACCTCCATCGCCTTGCTGCCAACACCAAGTCCTTGTTCTGTCTGCTGTCGTACACGCTGAGCTCATAGTCATCTTCCCTCAGCCAGCGTCCTTCATTGAAACTGTCTTCAATAAACTTTGATGAAACAACCCACAGGCCTAGGAGTAACGATACAGAGTTTGATCAACATTTTCAGGGGAGACAATGTTCATTTAAAGATGCCTGTTACGTTCTAAAAACCAGTCAAGTAAAATAATCAAAATTACTGCAGTAAGTGAATAACTATAAAATGTATATCAATGAGAGTTTGTTTTCTTTTAAATTTCTGATTTGAAATAAGTTTTGATATATTATACAAAGACGGAGGCTCTGTTTCTCATAACTATCAACAAACGCACAATACAGCCTAATTAGATCAGAGCAGTTGTTAACGCCGAGATGCCACAGTGCCCTGAAGTACCTCAATGATTCTCCAAGTGAAAACCTAAATTTTCAAAGAAAAAAAACAACAAAACTCTGTTGTGCATCCTCTTCCAGCTCAACGAACACCCAATCATTGGTTCCAAAATGTTGATGTTGGCTCTGATTTGAGCACTTTATGGGGTGACTAAAAGCAAAGACAACTTAGGTGTAAGCTGTTGAGTTCCATTGGTTACTTGTACATAGGTTTGTCCATGCCTCACTGGCATAATTAGGTATAAAGAACATGCATGCTTTTTAAAAAATGTGCAGTTGGATTATCTCTCAGTTTGGCTAATTCCAGACCTTCTATATCAGCGGTTCTCAAACCTGTGAGGGTCAAATGACCCTTACACAAGGGTCGCCTAAGACCATCGGAAAAACATATTTATGAAGTAGCTTTGAAAATAATTTTACGGTTGGGGGTCACCACAACATGAGGAACTGTATCAAAGGGTCGTGGTATTAGGAAGGTTGAGAAACACTGTTCTATATTGATTTGGCAGAAGCTGCCATTCACAGCTCCATTAAGCTGGAGTGAGCTCTAGATAATGATGGGAGTTATAAAAATTTTTTAGTCCATGGACCCCATAACGAGTCATCTGAGGGCCACGAATCCCTTCTTAGAATAAAGTTGTTAAATGCATATAAATTCAAAATAAATGTAGAGCAGAGACCCCCCCCCCTCGACACCTTTTCACAGACCACAGGTTAAGAGCCCTGGTTTATTGACCTCATTAGAAAAAGGTTAAAAAACCACTGAATTAGAAAATTGAAATCTTAAAACTGCACTTCATAAAAAAATTTTTTTAAAGTTTCATTAAAGTATTTTTACAACTAAATACCTCTGACACATGCACCCAGAAATTTCTCTGAGCAGGTAACTTTATCACAGACAAGATGAGTGGCATTCTTCTCAAATATCTGAAACATAATGGAATACTGTATTAAAAATTAATTAAATTTTACATAAAAAAAGAAATTAATGTATGGTTAATATAAATTGTATAACCTTCATTTGTTGCCACTATTCAGACCCATAACTTTGCTTATTGCCCTACAATGGATCCAAAAATAATCAATTAATTTCTTTTTTGATAGAAAATCCATTCAAACCTAGGTAGACCCATGCATTATTTTGAATGACTAGAGATTCCTCTAACTCAACTTAAACATAATCAGTAAATTTATCAAAATTAAAATGATTTGACTTGTATAACGTTGTCACTTGAATCAGTTAAAAGCAAGATGAATTACAAGTTAAGCAGAAATTAAATCACCTTTGAGTCAAGAAATTTTCCACCTAGGCCTTTTATCTTCTTTGCCAGGCTTAATTGCTTCTCTGACGGGACTTCCAAGAGAATAAATGGGCTTGATGCTGTATGCTTTCTTGGTGTTGACATCTGTTTGTTTTTTTTTAAATTAGAAAAACAGATAATTAGGATTTGAAAACTTAAAATGTGCGTATTCATATTTGTTATTTCTTGATTACCTAGTAATGAAAACTATTCTAAAATTTATGTAAAAATATACCCCCATAATTGGATAACTATTATAAGGTGATTATATCAAAATTAAGGGAATTTTTTGTGTAATTATATTTGTAAGTTTACAATATTAGCTTTTTTTTAAATTGAAGACACAGAACAACAACGAAGACACAGAACAACAACAAAGACGTGGAACAACAACGAAGACTTGGAACAACAACAAAGACATGGAACAACAACAAAGACACGGAACAACAACAAAGACATGGAACAACGAAGACACGGAACAACAACAAAGACACGGAACAACAACGAAGACACGGAACAACAACAAAGACACGGAACAACAACAAAGACACGGAACAACAACAAAGACACGGAACAACAAAAAAGACACGAATCAAAAACAACATATTCTGATACTGATGGTTAACAATGATTATCAAAATAGGATT